GCAAGTGTGCGCGAGTTTTTCTACGGCGCTTTTCTTTCGTCGGTGAGTTGGTTTTTCTTCTATTTTTAAGTTACTAAGGTGAATGGTGAGGAAACCTTCGTCTTAACTAAACATAAGCCCCAAACAAAATATAATGAAAGCAAAATAAAAGTAAAATAAAAATAAAGCTCAGACTTGGTTCCTTACAACTTAAAGAAAATATAGTAAAATCCATAATAGTTGAAGTTGAATGACCATAATATATAAAGACACTGTACACACCTTACACACTTTTCCAGCAATTAATTTTAATTGAAACTAAACATGTTTTGGCCCAATTGATAAGTCTTTGTCAGGTTTTAAATAGAGATTGTTTTTGGAACAGAGTATTAAATTATGTTTTTTGAAAACTAATGGGAGTTTTTACTATCAAAAAAATTTTGATAGAAATAAAATGCATTTAAATATAAAACTACTATTAAAACAAAAAATAAAATAGAATTAAGTAACAAAAAATGAAACAAAATAATCCAACTGGCTATGACGACGCCATGTTTTCACAGTGTGTCATGTTTTTGTCATCCCTCCTTTTTTAAGGGAGTTATCAAATAACGATTGCCATACAAAGGATAGCATTGCACAGTCTCTGCTATAAATAAACTGTTCTGTTAAAGTAGATTTAAAAATCTGCACAGTTTGTAATTTGTGTTCATCATAGATTTGTTTTTTAAGTCAATCATTGCTGAAACTTGCCAACATCCATGTTTGCTTGCATACTGGACAAGAGTAGTTACTAAATTATTTCTGCTGATGTTATATTTATGTTCTTTAATCCCATGTGCTAATGACCTATTGGTTGAGCCATTGTATGTAAGATAACTATTGAATCTACTGGTATGGAGTACACCCCATGGACTTTATTTGCATCAATGCAATCCTTGCCATTACTTATAATCTGTATACTGTTGGCCCAAGTTTGTATGCTATATGAGTGCCTACATATTTAGCAATTAGTGTATAAGTGGATCTTAGTCTTCTATCATAATCTAAAATTGTGCATTTGCCTGCCTGTGCATGTGGTTATGTCCCCCTTCCCCATCCAACTTGCATGCAATGCTACAATTAACTTTTATACTCTGCCTGTGTCTGATTGCAAATTTTTCTACATGCTTTGGCTCTTTAATGGTGTCGTTAATGTTGGAGCAGTGTATATATGCTTGTTTTACTAATGGCCTGAATGTGACTATCGTATATGTATCTGGGTCATTAGAGATAGCCGAGATGAAAAGTAGTATATAGCCAGACTTATAATAGGCATTTATGTTCACCAGCCCATTCTTGAAATTGATGTTAATGTCTAGGAAATGGGCTTCTGTGTTGTTGTTAAATGTCTGTAATACTCTGTTCACATCTGGCTTTGATTTCCAAATAATTAAGATTTCATCCACATAATGGGTGAAAAGGATCTAACAGGTGTGTGAGAAGCAAGGCGTGATTTTGCATAAAATTAAGAAAAATCTTAAACCTATTTCTCCATTGCAATTGTAAAGAAAACATTGCACAGGAAACAGATTGAATATCACTCATACTATCAACCATTAGCTGAGAAATATAACATCAGAGTACTAAACGATAAACAACCCAGTGTTAAAGGAGGAGAAAGTGATTGTCAACGTATGGATAGAAGGAAGCGTACAAGTCTCTTACCAAATATGGTCATGACAGCGCCATATAATGGCAGTTTTACTTCATCAACGGCTCACCTCTGACCGCACACTCAGATGCATTGCCAAACAGTTGATCACCTGGCTTTTTTTCCCAAGCTAAATTGATAAAAGGGAGACAAGAACTCAAGTTGTTGTGGCCCAGCCTGGACAGCCAGACACTAGTGACATCCACGTAGTTCTCAGCAGCTATCCCCAGAACGGCAATCACAAGATGGATTCCACGAATGAAGGAGAAGACTTCCGTTCTGTCATATCTGGAACAGCCTAAAGCAGACTTTTTCATAGAAGACGATGGCTCAAATCACTGTATAAGAAAGGAAGACATCAATCACGGCTCAACCTTCACAAAGACAGAGAACTACATCTCTCTCTGAGGTATTTCTGTAAACTCTCTCTCAAGAGCAAATAGTGGATAGAATGCGAACGGAGTGCATAGATATCTTTGTAGTGTCGTCTTAGATGTATATAACATATTTCTGTGTATTCTTAGGTTTAGACGTTTTATATTAAACTTATATTTTTATTCGTTACCCTGACTATCTGCCATTGCTCGGAATAACGGACACCCTATCGACTTACTTGCGACCTCTCCACTCCACTAATAGCTTTCCTCGCCATCCAACAGACAAAGAGATCAAGTTTTACCAACCCGTGCCAATTAAGTGGTCATTAGCACTTTAACAGGCAGGTGTTTTTAATTTTTTTACACACAAAAAACACATTTAAAAATTTTTTTTATAATATTCATGTTGCAATAAAAGCACATCCGATATGAGTAAAAATTAGAACGTAAAAATTGCCTGAAAGAAAAAATCCCAGAATTCATTTTTGTAGGAAAACTATTAAAAAAATAAAATAATATAAAATAAATGCATTTAGTTATAAAATATAGCTTTAGGGATCATTATTATTTCATTTGACATTACTGCAACTCGACATGTGCAGTCAACAGTGTTTGAAACTGGTTGACCTTGAGAACAGCTGTTGACAGTTTGCAGGAAGTTTACATAAATGGCTCAGGGTAAGTTGGAGTTTTAGCAGGGTGTGTACTTATTATTACAAATACAGTAGAGCCTCGATTATCCGACCCTCGATTAACCGACACCTCGGTTAACCGACCGTCCTAGTCGGCAAATTTCAATTGTCCGCTAGTGATGTGGCGCTACAATATTTGGCTATGTCTTGGCTACTTTAATATTATTTTCACGTGTTTTAGCTGGCAACACTGGATCGACTATGAAAGGGAGCCAGTATTTAAACGAGGCTTAATTTTCTAATTTTTAACGATACAATAGCGACGATTATTATTTTAAAAAATTTTTGTTAGGCTTAACATAGATGAAAATTCAACGCGAAGTAGATTAATAGCGATATACTAATATACTAATTACATGGGATATAATAATATACTACACTAATAATGGATTTTCTTATACTTTTCGGTTATCTGACTTTTCAATTATCCGACCAACCCCAGTCCTTAATTGGGTCGGATAATTGAGGCTCTACTGTACTCAAATATAACACAAAATTTCTAGTCTGTTGTGCTATTATAATACGTGGAGACCACAAAAAGGTCAATAAAAAAATTTTATTGGATATAAAATTAATTAATTTAATTAATTAAAAAACTTGCCGAGGTGATAAACAATGTCTAATAGTATGTAAATAAATTTTACTGGAGTCAAATCCATGCATAAAAAGTAAAAACGATTATATTACTTTAATTAACAAAAATAATGATTGACTTTTAACTTTAGTTTTTTTCATGTAATTTCTTTTATATTGAGCAATATTCTATTATCCAAATCAATGATATCAAACTATCTTCTGACCAAATTACTGGAATGAATCACACACAATCAAGAACCTTTAAAGTCCAGTAACACAAACTTTAATGAAAATGAACGTTTTTGACCATACCCACAGTCTCCATCAGGTTTCTAACCAGCAAAATTCCAAAACAGAATGCATAGAACAAACATATTTGAAAAATTATTTTTAAAAATTTTGGGACAACACTAAACATATATAAAACAATTTGAACAGTAGACATATCTAATCAATTGATGTAGAAACACATTGTTGTTCTGGCACTCCAAAAGGAATTTAAATTTAGCCCTAGCACTAGTTGGGGCTAGTACCAGTTTTTGTATAACTTAGTTGGCATAGCTTAAATAGACTAAACTATCTTCTTATGGTCAAAAACATTCGTTTTCATTAAAATTTGTCTTACTGGACTTTAAAGGTTCTTGATTATGTGTCAATGATATCAATATAATTTTTGACTCCAAATTAACTTGCATATTAAAAAATTGATTGAAAAACTGAATCTGGCATATATTTAGGAGGAGAATGTGGAAGCCTTTCACTTTACATATCAAATAATTCTATATTTCTGTTGCTGGATTTTGCCATTTCATAGATTACTGTTAGCCTATTTGGTCTGCAATTTTATTTTTCTGTTATTAAAAGTTGGAAAGCTGTCAATAATGTATGCTTCATGTTTGAAAAATCTTTGCAAATTTACCTTGTGATACTTGTTCCAATAGTTTGATGGATTACTATATTGTCTTTATAATAGCTCACTTCTGCCTGACAGATTTTTTTCACTTGATAAAGTTTTTTCTCAAGCAATGTAATGAACTGAAGGGTTCATTACATTGCTTTTTTCTAGATCATACATCATACATCATACAAAGGTATTTTTACTTTAGAATAATTTGATCAGTTATATAAATTTTACAACTATTGAAAACTTATGTAAAGATTATGTGTATTTAAACAAATGTGTCAGTTTTATTTTTTTGTTATTTATGTTTATATTTGATCATATTTTTCTGTTTTCTACAGCTGTTATTTTTTTGTGGGGACTGTTTTTCTAGCAGCATTTGCCACTCTGCTGTATTTAGAGGATTAAATAAATAAATAAAATATTTTGTTGTTAAAACTTTTTACCATTTTATCTCTTATGAGAATTAATTAATTATTTTGAATTTCCAATTTCTGACAATTCATTCAACACATTGCCAGTGAGTTTATTTAATATAAGTAGGTAATGATTTTTGATATACATGTATAAATAATACATATATAAATAAAATAATACCAAATATTCAAACATAAATAATGGCAAATTTAGAAATTTTTTTATTTGTCTCTCAATGTTTCAATATCTATTATTATTTGTCAGAATGTTGATATAGTATTGCACATAATTAGTTATTATTTAGAAATGTATTATATCTTCTGATATAGTTAAATTAACTGTTAATATTAAATTATCATTAAAAGGTACTCCAGAATTTATGGCTCCCGAAATGTATGAAGAACACTACGATGAGTCAGTTGATGTATATGCATTTGGAATGTGTATGTTGGAACTAGCAACTTCAGAATATCCTTATTCGGAATGCAGTGGTCCAGCTCAGATTTATAAAAAAGTTACCAGTGTAAGAACTATGTTTTAATATTTTTCAAGTTTTTTTATGATCACATATTCAATTTCTTGTTTTAACATCAAAATTGTATCTGTAGATGAGAAATCCATGGCACTTCTCCTCTGTACCTACAATTTTAGTGTATTTTTTAAACTTTGTTTTGGTTCTGCTTTCAGATTAAAACAGTAAAACCTCTACTTTGTGACATTTTATGGTTCTAAGCAAAAGTTGTGAGGGGTGATCATTTTGGTGGGGTTTTCATTAAATCATATAATACACCATACTTTACTGATACTATATTTATTTTAATTTTGCATTATTCGAATGAAAGAAATTATAAATTTTTGTTTGTTTTAAGTATGATATTTTTTGCAATAGAATTACTTTTTAGAGTTTCTTTTCTGGTTTGCACAAAAGTGTTTTTAGATGTGTGTTTCTTAAGTTATTTGAAGGTGAGCTTTTCCTGGCAAATATTTCAAGAACTTAAGTTTCATAGGCAAAGGTTATGGCCATTCATTTGGTAGAATTATCCTCTGTATCACTTTCTTGATTCTTCACATCAAATTTCTCAAACAGATGTTCCTCCCAATTTCCTGTTAAATCTTTAGAGCAACTAACTTTCTTGTTAATTCTTTCAATATCCAGATGCACATTAGCAACTGTTGCTAATGTGCATCTGGATATTGAAAGGAAATTGGCATCCGGAATTGGGAGAAACATCTGTTTGAGGAATTTGATGTAGAGAATCAAGATATTGATACAGAGGATAATTCTACCAATGAATGGCCATAACTTTTGCTATTTTTTGGTAAGAGTTGGTAAATGCAGTCTGAGGAATCTGCATTTATATAAAAACCAGCAGTGTGGCTTCACCACAACTGAAGCCATATTGCTGGGAACTTTGTTGATTGTTTGAGGTTTAACTTTGTTTCATACTGTCATTGCCATTTTAGGGCATATCACTCACTGGAATATGGTGTGCAGACTCATTTGTAGATAATGATTCACCTATTGGTGCAATAATAACTCTAAAAATCCATTTATGGTACTGATTCTGAATGCTTGAATGCTTTTCTTGTTCAATGATTGAAGTAGAGCAGTTGTATTTGCTAAAAAAAAATTCAACATTTGTAAGCTTGATTTTTGTATAAAAAGAAAATTTTTCTATTTATGGACAATGCAGCATGTTGCATTATCTTTAAACAGGAAAATTTTCTTTTTTATTTTTTCGTTCAAGTTTTTAAGCCATTCTGTGAAAATTGCAGTTGTCATCTATGAGTTTTGATTACTGGACCAGTGAACTTTTAATTGTGATGCATCTATGTTCTTAAAACATTTTGCTGTAAAGATTTATTTATGGCAAGAAGAAGTTCCTTGTCATCAGTTGTGTGAATGCAAAAGAAGGCAGTTGTTAATCATTTTTTTTTTTTTTGCAAATTTACCTGTTTTTTGAATGACTGACCTTTTATTGTGTTTTACAGGGAGAGCTCTGAAGAACAAACCTGTCTCATTTACTTTGTATACATTAGATGTGTCAAAATTGTTAATGTTTGTTTTGATTCTACTAGTAAACTCTGAGATGTCTGCTTGCTTTTCTGCCATGACCACACACTTATCAGAACACTGTGATGTCACATGTTTTAAAGGTCTTTCAGAAAAATTTACAACTATCAGTTCCTTTGGTTTCTTTTCTTGGATCGGTAGTTCTGTGATAGGATGGATATCTTTAACATGTTTGTGTTTAATTGTCTTGTGCATGGTGATTGTGTTGGTGCACTGCTAGTAAGTTCTTTTGACATTCTTTTCCCATTTGTCTATATAGAAATATTTTTTGACAACATGGATTTGATTGGGTTCTTGCTGCACTGAAATTCTATTGCTAATCTGTGTTAATATGAAAAATGACAAATTTATACACTGAGAGCCTAAATTTTTGTTTGCATGCAAAGAAGTACAATAGGAAACAATTTTTTTTTTTTTTTTACTAAACAGGGAAATATTGTATGAAACTTAGTTTCCATTGGAAAATTGTACAAGAAAGAACTTCGGAAAACAGAAACAGGAAATAATAAAAAATCACTTCTACATGTTTAACTCTATTTTATAATAATCTTAAAGCAGTCTCAACTCATAGAAACTGAAACTTCCAATGCAAATATGTAATCCTCACTCACAGAATATCCAGAATAACAGCTATACAATTGTCAGCCAAGCAAACTGCTGCAAAAAAAGACTGATTGGGTGAGGGTGTGTGATGTGAGGGGAGGAGGATTTACAATTTGTAGAACAACTTCCATGCAGAGGGGAAGGAGTCAACATCTCAAAAATTTATAGCTGTGTTATGGTGGGTTGCCTTGTAAATTTCCACCTGTTCTAGATGTTTCAGCACATGTGGTTTGGATTCGTAGTGTAGGTGGTGTGCCCCTTGGAAGTTCACTTGGATGCCAGGAATTGATGTATATGAGACCAAAGCCATATTGTTTAATCATTTTTTAACAGATGTTTGATGTTCCTTGAGACGGACATGTAATGGGTGAGATGTAGCCTCTATGTATTGTAGGTGGCAGTTGTATTGTGGTTGATGATAGGGATGTGGTAGATGTCTGGGAGATGGTTCTTGTTGGATGGTATTTGGTGTTACAGAGTAGAGAGGAGATAGCCAGACTTCTGCAAAATGCCAAACAATAATTGTTTCCTTATGCTATTTCTTTGTACAGTGTGGCTAGTGACTTATTGTAGGTGACAGTCTTGAATTTGGTTTCTTTTTTGTGAGGTTTATTTAGTTGGATGGAAGTGGTGTTGGAAAGATTGCAGATCAGACTTTTAATGATGTATGGGGGGGTAGTCATGCTGGGTGGCATACTGGGTGATAGTGCATAGCTCCTTCTCTCTTGCCTATTTGTTTGAAGAATGGGAAAAGGCCCTCCATATTAATGATCTGAACGCTGCCAATTTGAATGTTAATGGATCATGGGATGTGGCTGGGATGAAGGTGGGGATATTGGTGGGTTTCCTGTATACCTGAGTGTAGAGGCGTCCCGGTTTGTAGGTCTAGGAAATTAATGAAGTGGGTGTTGTCCTGTTCAAGATGTAGTACTAGGCTGAATGAGTTATGATTTATCGTTTGTAAGAAATCTAGAATGGCGGATTTATCCCACCAAATTATGAGGATATCATCAACATATCTGGTGTATAGGTGAATGTGGCTGGTGAAGGTAGGAAGTATGGTGGACTCCAGTTGATGCACTACTAGTTCACATAACAATACAGATATAGGGCTGCCCATGGGGACTCCCTTGCTTTGTAGAAAAGTTTCTCCTTTGAATGAGAAAAAGGATGAATGGCAGAGCAAGTCAGTTAATTTCAGAATGTGTTTGTGGTGTTTGTCGGCATCCTTAATGTGGGAGAGGAGGAAATCATGCAGTGAGCAGAAACAAGATTCAATGCAGTAGATGGATACAGCGATTGGAAGTTGAAGACTGTGAAGAGAAGATTGTCCTGGATAGTAAGTTTGTTCCTTGAGGTGACTTATTAATTCCAAAGAGTTAGCAATGGAGTATGGGTATTGTGGGAGGTGGTCCATGATGAAAGTCTTTATTTTCTTTTCCAGTTGTATAGTAGGTGGCCACAGTAGGCTGTAGTAGGTTGCCCAGTTTGAATTTTGGCAAAGGCGAAAATACATGGTGTTACTGGAGCGGTGATGGTGGCGTGGCAGAGTTGTAGGATACCTGCTAGGGGGGGTGTTGGTGAGTTGAACGACTCTAGCCTGTAATTTACATAAGTAGTTGTCAAGGGCCACTGAACATCTAGTGTCCTGTATTCCCTTGCAGTACGTGGATCAGTACATAAGAACGATGCTTTTGGATTTGTTGGCTTTCAAGGCGACAATATCATGCATTTTCATCCATGCTTTGGTGTCCTGAATGGATTTCTACAAAGTTGTTTCATGCCTATAAACACATTCGTTCCTGAGGTTGAAAACCATTTTCCAACAGTAAAATTCTTTCTGTAGCTCTTCCTTGCTTTCTAGGAGATGTTCAACTTCTGGGATGATGGTCTTGGGTATTGTCTAATAAGGTGGAGGAGCAAAGGACAGATTAAGTCTGGTGGCTTGTTTTATACAGTCTGGAGGAATGATGTTGTCCCAACAAATGACATTGTCATGGTGAGAGGGGCAGTGCAGTGTGTGTCTGTGTGCCGAGTAAATTTACAATCTTCTTGTTATGAAGGTTACGTAACCTGATAGCATCAGAATCTGCTAAGGCGATGATGTTATGGTTGATGCGTATGAGTAACAGTGGATTATGACTGTTGATCTTATTTTCTAGGACTATGATTGCTTTGAGTATGGCATACTTATGTCTACTGGCAATATGAATGGCTTTATGTAGGCAGATGAAGCAGACTTGGTGGAGGATTGAGGCACAATCTGGGGGTATAGAGATGCTGAAAATCAAGGTAGGGAAGATGCCTATTTTGACATGTCAATTTGTTGAAATAATTGGTTGGATAAACAGTGAAATTGGCTAGGAGGAGTATCCATGCATCCATCTATCTAAAGGTGATGAGAATGTTTATTAATTGTTTAAAATTATAATGTTATTTTGGAAGCTAACTTATGAAAATCTTAACAGATTCAATCTACAAGAAAGGATTTACTTATCACAATGTAAATTTAAATTGTTAAAGATAAAATAGAAAATGAAGTTAATATGTAATGAATTTGAATTTTCTTAACTTTTCAGTTGGCAGAATGTTGATGACATGTAAAGAAACTACAAAAAAATAGAATAAAATTAATAATGATAATTTTTGTTTTCCTTTATTATATGTAATTAACATTTTAATGTTAAACTTTTTATTAATAAACTTTTATTTCTGGTTTTGGGTGCTGGATAGTCCTGAAAATGTTGAATGTCTGAGTGAGAGCACGTTTTTTGAGATATTCCTTGCTGCATGGGAAATAAATGAGAAATTTTTGATATCAGAATGTGATTATTTTTTTCAACTAAGCTAACTTGACGTTTAATTTCTTCAGATTTATTGGCAGTTGTTTAGTTGAATTTTCAACTTTCTTTTATTGCCAGATATCTCTAACTTAAAATTTGTTGTATTTGGAAAATCTGAAAAAAGTAAATTAAGGATAGCATCTTTTTTATGTGATAAAGCAAGATAAAAAATATGTACTTTTGAACATTTGATTTTGTCTACAGAGAAATCTAGTAAGCAGAACTGTGGTATTATGCTGTGGATTGGACACCACGTGTGGGAAATAACAATCCTTATATATAAGAAAGAAAAACTTTTACTTTTTCTACATTTATGTTTAATTAACAGAACCATTTTTATTTTACTTTCTTTACTATGTCTTTTCAATCTCCCGACAATCTTATTATGCAAGGCTGGCATGTGAACAGTTCCTTTTTCTTTCTCGTAAGATTAATTAAAAACTAACTTAAGTTAACACTATTATTAATCAGAATGAGGAAGGAAAAGAAGAGGAAAACAGTGTTAGTATGGAATCTTTTTGGCAAGTAATGGTCTTAGTATGCTGACCACTAATTAAAGAAAACGTGATCTCACCCATTGTCTTCTTGATTTGAGATGAACAGTTCATGTACAAAGTTTTATCCGGAGTTACTACCTTAGCTGTTTTCCAAATATAAGATGCAAATATTTTATATTATGGAAAGATTGCAGATCANTAAGTTGTGGGACTAACCACAGAGTCAAGTACAAAATCTACAAATTACTTTATATTGAGATATTTTTATATAAATTTATATGATTAGCTTATATAATTTAAATTAAATTAACAAATGAAATAAGTTTGGTGACCATTGAATTTATTTGTTGTTTTATTTGATTGTTTTAAAATAATCTCAAATAAGAAATGTATTTATTAAATGTATTTTGTTTTTTAAATGAAAGAAGATTTACTTAAGATTATTTTAAGAAATTAGTTAAAGAAAACTATATGAATTTAAAAAATATTTTTTAAATGACGAATTTGATATTTTTATTATTATTAAATATATAAAATTTTTTATTACTGTTTACACATGAACATAATTTAATATATGGTTATTTCCAGGGCTGTGGCATCATTTAAAAATCTACCAACTTTGACTTTGCCTTACCATCCGACTCCGATTTTGATTTTTACTAGGAGTGGACTCATTACCAAAATAGCCTGGAAATTCTGATGTCATCAAGTGACCTCAGAATAAATAGAGTTCTAATAAAGATAGAACATAGAAACTTTTTTATTTGAAAGCGAAAAGACTTTTCTAAGTAATGACATAAGTCTATATTTAAATATGTATTCGATAATTTTTACTTTTCCAGCTGTTGTATGTAACAGAGGGAAAGTGTAGCGATCAGTCAAAAAATGACCCCCAAATTTTACACTTTTGGACTCGGGACACCATGAAATGTCAAGATATGCAAAAGGTTCAGGGGTTCTTCATGTCTTGGTGTATATATGGGGGACACAATTTTGTTCACTTGTTTGAAGCTTAATAACTTATGTGGTTTTTGGATCCGCATCAGATGGTTTAACACAGGAGTTATTAAGCTTCAAAGTGGTTGAATAAAATTGTGCTCCCATTTGTATCCAGAGTCAGAGTTGGCAGATTTTTGACGACTCCAACTTCGAGTAAAACACCTAAACTCCACAACTCCGACTCCACAGCCCTGATTATTTCTATTATTGTTTTATCAGTGAAGCTTTATCTTTGTTTTCTTTTAATGTGGTCTTTTTTTTTTTTTTTTTTTTAGGGTGTTCCTCCTCAAAGTTTTGACAGAATTGAAACAACAGAACTCAAAGAAATAATTGGAATGTGCATTCGTGTAAAGAAAGAAGAAAGGTTAACTATAAATTTTTAATATAATATATTAAAATGTTCTTTAACCTTTCCCATGTTGAAATTTTTCTTCATTACATGTTGCACTATGCTGAATTTTTTTGATGTTAAGCCTAATGAAAATTATGTTTTTGAAGAAAAAAATATTGTCCGAAATTATTTTTTTGTTTCACAAACAAAATAAATACATTGAATAATATAGAAACAAAAAAAATTATACTTTAAAAGTTTGTTTTAACCCAAATTAAAGACAAAGTCGCTCTAAAAATATATTTTAGATGATCACCATTTTTACATAGTGTTCTAGAACAAATTATAGACAGCTGGACCTTCCTTTTTAGGCTACACAACTGCCTACATTTAAAAAAGTTCCTTAAAAAAAACAAAAACCAATAAAGATTAAAAAATTCTTCTTTAAAATTGGAATGGTAAATCTTGTGACATCTTGTTAGTTCATCCTTGTCCACTTAGGGTTTTGGCTCCTTTTATCTACTGAGAATTAGCACTGACAAATGTAGATTACACCAAGATATTCCTCTGGTGACAAATTTTAATGATATATTTGCCTAAAAAGGAAGGTCCAGCTGTCTATATTTGTTCTAGAACACTATGTAAAAATGGTGATCGTCTAAAATATATTTTTAACATGACTTTGTCTTTAATTTGGGAAAAATAATTTATTCATCCAACGGAAATTCAAAAAAGTTTGTTTTAATATAAAAATTGTGATGCATAGCGACATTTAGTATCAAAAACATTTTGATGTAAACACGAAAATATTCGGGATTGCCTACGCAGGTCAATGAGGTCAACACGAATATTTTCAGGAACAACATAGGACAGGTTAAAATATTTATTAATTGCCAAAATGTATACTATATATGCCACTATTTACTTTCCTTCTTATTTACACTTTATACTGACTAAAACTTACTCTCTCTTCGTCTTTCCTTGAGGGGGTGGAATTTCCAAAAATCCCTTCTTCATGTGCATTCTCATGGCTTATCCTAACTGTACACGAAATATTATTTTTCAACTTTTAACCATTTGGGCTCTGCGCTTATTATTATCATCATCCAGTTTCACCAGGTGCAAGAATTAGGTCCCCCCTTTTTTATAGGCTAATTAGAGAATTTCTGGATAAGTCTAAAAATATGTTTGATTTCCCACAAAAACGAAAAACCACATCTATAATAGTACAGTAGAAGCCAAGTTCTTTGGGGTAATCCCTCTCTCTTCTGGGTGGGAATTTTTAAAAATCCCTTCTTAGTGTACATTATCATGACACACCTTAAGTGTGTATCAAATTTTAACTTTTAAGTTATAACCATTTGGACTCTGCACTTATTATTATTATCATTATCATCATCATCAACCCATCTTGATTATATTATAAGATTTATTGCCTATAGTTGTACAGGTGAAGAAATTAATAATTTGTTAAATCATTCTTTACATGTGCATGTTTTAATAGTAATGAATCATTATTGTTTAATTTTAATTGCACATTCTTATTTTTATAATAAATTTATTTAATAATTTTACATTTTAAAATATTCCATTATTGTTTCTACTTTTATCTCAGAGTTATACAAATCTGTTTATTTAGTTTTATCTTTTTGTTAAATTTGACTGTTAATAGAGTGTTTATTAAAAATTTATAGTTATTTTTATGTATTTATTATAGTTAATTTTTTTATTGTTCTTAGACCTTCAGTCAAAGATCTACTTCAGCTTGACTTTTTTCAAGAAGACATAGGAATAAAAGTTGAGTTTGTAAATAGAGAAGAAAGTATTGTGAATACAAATAAAAAAGTAGAGTTACGTTTAAGAGTTTTGGACCCTAAAAAACGTAAAGATAAACATAAAGAAAATGAAGCTATTCAATTTGAATTTGGAATTGAATGTGATAATCCAGATGAAGTTGCTCAAGCAATGGTAATGATTATCGATATTTTAATTTAAAAATATTTTACATGAACACAAAAGTAATTGCATTATTATGTAAATATTTGTAATTAAAAATTAGGATTTAAAGTAATATATCACAATGATATTTAGGCATTATCTATTAATTAATCAATTAGCTGCTTGCAATAAAAAAAATATATATATTCAAAAGAAAATACAGACTGCATTCAGAAATTTTAGTTGTTGAAATGCATAGAAATATTGGAAATAGATATTTTAGTGGAAAGAAAGAAATTTTTGCTTTGTGATACAGACCAGTTTTTACGGAAGTGATTTATATGTTTGAGCTAGATGATCTGCTGAATTATCAGGCTATAATTATGCTAAATGTCTGCAGGGTAAGCAGAAGTTGCAGGTACAAGTCCCACTCCAGGCTGATTTTTTTTTTCCAGAAATTCTAAATTAAAATTAATTTATTACAATAACATTATTACAAGATAGCAGTTTCATAGCCTACCTCTTGACCAATTACTTTGTATCTAATTATTAACTTGGCCTAATTATAACCTGATAGTTTTTCAACTCATCTGGCTTTAATCAAAAATCAGATTTGTGGAATTGTTGTTTATGTGTAGTTTATATGTTTATACCCATTTAATGACAAAGTTTATTAAGTCTTTTCTTTTATTTATTTGTTGAAACCGTGTCTTCTTCTTGTTTCTTCTAATTCAATGTCATGACTTGGTGCATTTATCGACATTTGGCAAATAATTTCATCATCCACTTTTAATTCATACAGATACGCATTTCGGGCTTTCACCCCTCTTCAGTCTGTTACATAGATAGGTTGTATTTTGTGTATACAGTATCTGTCAGGCACCTTCCGTACTTCCCACTCCCCTTCCCTTCCCTCCCAACTTGACGACCTTCCCCGCATGCCTCGTAACTTGTAACGTCTCACTCCCCGAGTGCCACACATGGCCTCGCCTGTGACTGTATAAACATTCTATTTTAATAATTGTAACCAGTTTTTATGAACGTCAATAAGTTCTACACACAACAGACAGTCATAAGCATGGAATCAGTCATAGGCCCGAAGCTAGCAGAACTTGTTATGGTAGATATAGATCAAGCAATCAAAAAGATTACAGGCATAAAGTTATATAAATGATATGTGGATGACATAATTATACTATATGACCAAGAAATAACAAAATTAGAAGTAATAGAAGAAAAAATAAACAAATTAAACAGTAACATCAAATTCAAGGTAGAAAATGAGGCAAACACAGAAATAAATTGCTTTGACATTAAAATAACCAGAAAGGCAAACAAGATTGAATTCGAGCCATACACAAAACCATCCGAGATTAGGAAAGTGTTAAACTACAATGCAAACATCCACAGTACATAAAAGAAAACATACTCATCATGGAGTATAAAAAAATTGAGAACAGAACAAGCTTTCTACAGAAGAAGAAAAAACACCTCAACGAACTGCAAACTAAATTCCTATTAAACAGCTATCCAAAATGAATAATAAATAATTGGGAAAATAAAATAAACAATAAAAGGCTGGAAAATAAACAAAACACAGATAAAAACATAGGGGAAGGATATGTTTTTATCTTTGTTTTGTTTATTTTCCAGCCTTTTATTGTTTATTTTATTTTCCCAGTTATTTATTATTCATTTTGGATAGCCATTTAATAGGAACCTTCCCCTACATTTATGGCTTCTTTGAACAGGTAAACAAAAGTTTTGATAAAATAAATATAAAGCTAGCCCCAACCTATAACAACTTGCAAAAAAGAATCCGGAAGGCAAAATCTTATTAATAATATTTTCTATTTACTTTTTAATATTTCTTTGAAATGTATTTATTGTCTCTCAAAATATATTTTAAATTGTTTTGTTACACTTTTCTGTACTAAGAATTACTTTATCATTTGGGAGAAATTTTTAACTTTTGCAGATATTTCTGTAAAATATAATTGAACAAATTTATGAAAACATACATAAATAAAACAAAATTTATTTTATTAGAAGAGGATAAAAAAAAATTGATGAAATTCATTGACATTACAGAAGAAAGCAATATTCAATGTGTACAAGGAGTCTGAAAAGTCTGGATACAGTATATAATGTCTATATGGATGATGGCAGGCTGAATATGGGGTATATGTTATGAAGCATACCAGATCCAATGAATCCAAGTTGATCTCAAAGGGCATTTTTAAGGTCATTCAAAAAATACTTTTAAAACCGTGCATCCCAGACCAAAAAGTTAATTAGAAAGTTGGAGACCATACGAAAGTTAGTAAGAATCTGCTTTTGTGTGATACATAAATGTAAAGATAAAATTTAAAAAAATCCAAAAACATGAACAAAATTTTGTTGATGTCATGCGATGAAGCACTTGCATCATTGTTCAATTCAGATGAAACAACCAATGAATAGAAAAAATAAATACACAAACAAAATCCAAATAACAAATAATTGATATAAAAATACTTTTTATTTTGTCAGTGGTACTTGTAGGTAATAAAAGAAAATAAATTAATTCAAGAGATGTTCAGTATGATGAACATCTGAGTGCAGACAAAGTTCTGTTTAACCTTTGTAGAGAGGGTTAGTCTGATATGGGCTATGTAGTGGAGAATAATTGCGGGAAATTTTTTAAGAATTTTTCCACACGTTTTTCTTGTTTCCGTTTTGAAAAAAAATTTTTAAACAGTTACGCGTAGTAAAGAAAAAATCTTTATTTTCACATAATTCCTTTTTATGTGAATTTTTTTTCACAGTAATTTTTGGCTAAAATTTTTTTGCTAATATCGATGTCATTCTCCAGTCCACGTGATCGCCCTTGGCATATCCGTCAATCACTGCAGAGTGGTTAATGTTTGATGGTATCTTGCACATATGCCAATGTTGATGGCTGGATGCTGACACAGACTAAAAGAATTCTATTCTGCAGATCATTTTTGGTGGTTCTTCTGTATGTCATACACTTCCTTTCTCATCAGAGTCAAATGATTGCTGTAACATATTGGATTTTTTTTGCTACTATTAATAATTAAATTTTAAGTAATTTGGTAGTAAAGGTAAGTGTTAGGTGCTATCTATTAATAAATTTAATAATTATAATAAATTAATATTTATTAAATACTTTAGAATATTTTGGACAAAAAGAATTGGCTGGGAGCAGGATTTGAACCCACAACTCCTGCATACCGTGTGGATGCAGGAGTTGTGAGAAAAATAGCCCCATACATTATGGAAATTGTTTGTCTTTGTTTAATAACATCAGGTTTTGAGATGTTTATATATCTTCTCATATGACCTCACAAAAAAGTCCAATAGTATGAAATTGGGTTATCTTGGTGGCCAACAAATTGGTTTTGCCCAATCAATTCATCTGTTTGGAAATAATGTATCCAAACAATCCTGAGAAATTTGTGCAGTGTGTGGTGGTGCACCATAATGCTGATACCAAATTCGTTTTACCAAGTTCTGCCAATGGCATCAATAAAAATTTCAACAACTTTGTCAAGAAGCATTTTACAATACTGTTTGCCAGTGATAGCTCCATGGTAAAAATACAGGGGGCAAGAAGTTAGTTGTTGTAGACCCTCACCATATATTCACTTGTCAATGAACTTTAAACAATGTCTACTGAACCCATTAGGCATTGTAAACTATCCAATAATGACAATGATATTATGGCAAATTTGTGATTTATCTATCTAAATTTTTGTTGTGCATTCTGGGTTGTCATCAATTTTCAACAGAAGGTAGTTGCTGAAATTCACGCAGTTCTCAAAATCCACATGCTTCAGTGCTTGATGACAAAGTATGTGGTAGGGATGAAATTTCCCTTTCAGAGCTTTTTGTGGAGCAAATGAAATTCACTATATACTTGTATGAGGATTTTCTACAACTGTTGCCAGAATCAATAGCTGCCATCATCATACAGCAACATTCCCATCCAGATAGGTTCTTTCCTATCTGGATGGGAATGCTGCTGTATCCCAAAGTCATTGAATAATGTGATGTAGTGTTGATAGTGATATATGTCTGTAGTCAGGGAATTTTTCCCTATACAGCCTTGCTGCAGTATGATAGTTTTCTCCATTAGTCCCATAACAAAATACTGTACTACTATGCATATGTAGCTAGAACTATTTCTAAGATTATCAGCACGAAACCTTTCTCACTAATTTCTAGCTGTATTAACAGGAATACAAACGTTTTTGGCCTTCTTAATAGTGTACCCGAGGAAGGCCCATTACGAAGGCCGAAAACGTTTGTACTCCTGTTAATATGGCTAGAAATTAGTGAGAAAGGTTTTGTGCTGATAATCTTAAAATACTGTACCATATCAATCATTTTAGGTTGTGTATTTTGCCATCTCACTTATTGTAAGAGAATCTCCAATTGCATCACAGTTCCCTACAACTTTTATGCAAATAAGCTGAAGTACATTTTAGATTATGCAATTGCATAACCCAAATGTTTTCGACCCACTTCTAGGGTCTTCCTCATGTGTTCTATCAATTTTTCTGGTGCAATTTCGATTTTAACTGTTCAGGTCTCCAATGCTTCTATCTTTGGAATTTATTTTTTAAAATTTAAAAAACGTTTTAAATAGTAACTGCAAAGCTATATAAGGTTAGTGTGATGTATTTGTTATTTAAAATAATTGGAGAAAATAGTTTGCTTTGTATTTCATCCTTTACACACTTCCTTTTCAATGTGAAATTTTAATTTACTAATGAAAGTAAGTTTATTAGTGTCCCTTGTATTCAAAAGAAATGTTTGCATTTCCTCAGTATATTTTATAGTTTCATTATAATTTTTCACTTTGTTTTGTTTTTTTGTCATAATTTTGAACTTGTACTTCATCTATTTCAATGAGGGTATCTTCTGAGTGAGTAAATGAAATATGGGCATAAATATCATTATTTGTCTTTTCTATGCATGATTCATTATCTATAGAAATAATCAACAGTCACCTTAACCTATTCGATGTTGAAATTCTTCTCTATTGCCTGTGACGCCATGTTGAATTTTTGTGGATATTAAGTCTAACAAATTTTTTTTTCTTTTAAATAATAATCCTATTTACTGTGTCGTTAAAAATTTTTTTTTTATATTGCATAAATGAAATAAATATATTGAAAAATATAAAAACAAAAAAATTTTATTTTAGAAGTTCGTTTTAATATAAAAATTGTGATGCATAGCGACATCTAGTATCAAAAATGTTCCAATGCAGACACAAAAATATTCAGGATCACCCACGCAGGTCAATGAAGTCAACACAAAAATTTTCAGGTACAACGCAGGACAGGTTAAATATTGGGCTATAATATGGTTAATTAAATGATTGATATTAAGTAATTTGTTACTAGAGGTAGACATTAGGCACCATTTCTTAACTAAATTAATAATTATAATTTAAATAAATAATTAAATAAATTTAGAACCTTCTGGAATAAAAGAACTGACCCAGGGCGGGGCTTGAAACCACAACCTCCGCTTGTCACGTGGTGTGCTTGCCAGTTGCGCCACCCGCACGGCAAGCCATGCATTTATATTTGCTTCCCATTTCACTGTTAATTTACCTATATCGATGTTTCTGAAACATCTGGGCTTTTTAGTTTTTTTTGTAACTAGTGGTGTTTTGAATTCTCCTAATATGTTACAGCAAAGCAAAATTATAACTTGCTCTTTTGAAACTTGTCCTCCATTTCACTGTTTCTCTTCAAAATGCATTGTTTTTTGGGAGAACTCACTAGAACAGGCCAGTCTTGTTGGCATTGAAGATGTTTTTTTGCTTCATAGTCTTTGCAAATTGTGTCAAGTTTCATTAACCATTCAGAAACTTGCTGTGAATCTATGGATTTGCTTTTACCACAAATTTTTTTTGAAAGAAATACCATGACATAGTCTAAATTTGTCCACTATCCATTGAAGGCTTTAAAATTTTACATTCCATTTTGCAACTTCTTTAGTCTTTTCTTGTGAAGAGGTCCTGCTTACAGAAATGTCTTACAGAATGGAACAAAACCACTCAAATACTGCAGAATCAACTGCTCGAGTATCAGTTTTGCTAAACTTAACATGCTTGAATTTTAATTAAGTTTGTTATCCCTAATCTATGAATGTCTTCTTTGTTTTTCAATAAGTCACTTACTAGAGTTTCAATTGTAGAAAAGTGCTTTTCAAGATTACGTACACTTAGTTTCTCTCTCTCTCTCTCTCTCTCTGCAACTTCCAAAACTTCAATTTTTAAAGTCAATCTTCTTCTCTTTGATTCCATTCTCGAACAGAACATTCTATGAGTTAAAAGTTCCAACACTATGAGAATAAATAATTAAGAATACCTATTTGTCTGTTAGATACAAATTTATACAGCACCAGAAACAAGAAACACCTCTTAAGTGCAATAAAACATTTATTGCACTAAGGAAAGAAGTGTAACATTTAGCCTACGGTACAGTATTTACATTGCTGTAAGTTTCACATACAAATAAGATTACAGTACATAAATTGATGGTTTCAAATGAACATTACTCTATAGCACTTAAGGATAGTGGTATAGAAAATAGAGGATAAACAGGAAAAGTTTATGGTTTCTTGGTACAATAAGGTTAATTATAACAATAACATAGAAGTTTAATATTAATATGTGTGATGATAAGTGGTTTTTCACAACTTAACTAGATTAGTCTTCTCTAACACATTAAAAGTATTATTTAGCTTCTTACAACCTGCCCTACTCCCCTATTCCTATTTTTAGACAGGTTTTATTTGACACCAATAGTTAAAATTTGTCATCTGAAAGAGTATTTGAACCAATTCTTTGTCTTCATTTTAAAATATTTTGTATGTAATTAATTCTCTCAAAACATTGAAGGTGGGACAAATATTATGTTTTCATAAGGTAGGTTATGGACAAAAGCATCCATTATTTAGAGATAAATATTATAGATGTGCTATTTGAAGGGTCTGGGATTGTAAAAATGTTTAAGTAGAGGTGTACATTATTGGGGAATGTCTGTTAATGGAGGTTTCACTGTATTTGAGAAGTGGGTCCTATTATTTGGACAAATAGCTGTTTATGTTTAAGGCTATGTAGTCACCAAGTTTCCTTTAAATTGGAGACCCGAATATCTGGCTCTGTTTTTGTAACAGCTTAATGTGATACTTTTGCTTTCCAGATGCCAAACTAATAAGGCTACGAGCACCTGCATTAATTAGTATGCAAAACTGGTTGCAATAATTAAACATCAACATCAACAACACATCAACACTGGGGATGTAACTCAACACCTTGTGTAGAACCTGTTACTGGTGTGTTCTGTGAATAATATTCACAGAATGCATTGGTAACAGGTTCCAGACAAGGTGTTGAGTTGCAATAAATAATAATAATTTGAAGTGATAAAAAAAAATTTAAAACTGGCAAAATAGTTGGTGAAATTTTAAATTTTTCAGAGTGATTAAATGTATTAGACTTTTCAGACAACTTATATAGTCAGCAAGTAACAAAAGCTTATACAGTCAATTCGCCTAAATACAAATCACTAGAAGAATAGTAGTTTGCTTTATTGAAAAATTGTATTAATGCTTTTCAGTATAATTAATTTGTATAATTGTATAATTTAGGGAGTTAAGGTTTAATAGGCAGTTGAAATCTTTATAATATTTTGAATTAATTTACTAAATAAAACAAAATTAAATTAAATTAAAAAAAAACAAATTAATGTTCCAAATGATTTTAAAATCAAACAAAATGAAGAGGATACTGTATTTGCTGTTTAAGTGCTGAGTAATATATCAGAGTGGTTAAACAAAACAAAGCTAAAAGAAATCCACGATCAATTCCATTTTCTGTTGAAGATTGTTTGAAAAAGTAAAAAAAAAATACTATTTGATGCCAAAAGAGTAAAAGAAGGAGCCAAATTTGGCACAAACTATTCCAGCTTCACATCACTTCATGCATTTCCCAATATACAAATTAGCACGTGTTTGCATGGGATTACATCCATTTAAAAGGGTGGGCTTTAATATTGTACTCAGAAAATAGAGGTAAACTTTAACCACTATTTTCTGAATACAATAGAATGGTCTGCTAAAACCAGATGTTTGAATTGCTTTACATTTGGAGGTCAAACCTGTCTTTGCTTACTAGGAGAAGAAAATCTATTCTACTCAAAATGAAGCATTCATTACAGTACCACTTTTTATGTTCATGTTGAAAAATGTAAAAAGCAACCATTATTGAAATAGGATTATTTCTTGGATGTTGTGAAGGGAATTTACAGTTTGGTCTAACAAATTCTGTTAAAATTGTTGTTTGCTTTATTGTGTGAAAATTAACATTGTAACAATGAAATTTTATCAGGGAAATGGAAAAATTTGCTTTAATGCAAGAATATGCTTTATCCATGTTTGTTTTAAGGCAAGTTAACCATATAAGTTTTGAACTGTTTGATCCTTTCATAAAAAAACTGAGCATTGCCATATATATCAGCTAGTGATATATAAAATGTAAATGTAATTTATAAGCAAGTATCTTTACAAATTGAAAGTAAATTTTGTCTTAGTGTATTTTATATAGATAATCATTAAATTAAAAATTAATAAAACCAGACAATAATCTTAAATTCTAAAAGGACCAAGATAATGCATTCTTTGTATAATGAATCAATAAATGTTGATGATTTCTTAATCAAGTGATAATTTCTATTTTGTGTATAATAAGTCTGGTATTACAGCAGACGTTGATGATCATTAATTAATGAAACTAAGAGGATCAAGATAAAATAAATGTGTTTTATATACATAACTTTTTATAAACTAAAAATATAGAAAATGTTATGTTCTTTGTAAGATTTTATTTAATGAAACTTATTTCTCATGCTATTTTGTTAATTGTTATAAAATATATTTCTAGGCTTTATCTGGTATCATCATGGAGGAAGATGTAAGAATAGTTGCATTATTAATTCGAAATCAGATAGCTTCATTAGTAAGAGAAAGACAACAACATTTTCATAATCAGCAATTACAGATTCAACAAATTCAGCATATACAACATAATCAAGAACAATTAAGCTCTCAGCAAGAATCTGTTTCTGTACAGCAGCAAATTTCTAATGTTCCATCACTTTCACAAAATGTGCATTCTTTTTCACAAACTGTTCATACAGTACAGTCATTACCCCCAATTATTCAGTCAGTTCCACCTATATCTCAGTCTATACAAGCTGTACAGAACATGCATATTTCCCAGCCAATACAAAATGTTTCATCCCAAATATTGCCTACTATGCAGAATTCTTCTCACTCTGTTATTCAACAAGGACAAAATATGACATCTGTTTCAACACAAATTACACAACCCTTGCAGTCTCTCAATCATCAGAATAATGAAATAGCATCACTTTCACAGAAGGTTTCATCTGTTTCGCAGCAAATTCCAAATTTTCAAACTGGTGCACAAGTTATAGTTTCACAGCAAACAAATCAGCAAACTTCAAAATCAAATCAGTTTGTGAATCCCATTATACAACAATCACAGCAGATGCCACAACCAGTTAATACTTCTTCACAAATAGTTCAAGATTTAAATTCTCAGATGCAAACATCGCAACCTTTAGTTAAAGCTTCTGTTTCTCAATCAGTTTCTCCATGTCAAATTTTACATAGTAAATCAAATACACAAATATCTTCACAAGCTAATTCTAATCAGTTATCTCAAATACCATCTTCTGAAACAAATCCACAGTCAGTCTCTCAATCTTCAACTTTGCCACAGTCTGTTCAATCTATGCATTCTCATATTCAACCAGTTCAAATTTCAACAAGCTGTGGATCAGTACCTCAAATATTCCAATCATCTCAATCTGTACAACAAATGTCATCTATTCCATCTATCCAGCAAACATTTCAATTACAGAATCAACCTTTAACACATCAGTTACAGCAATCTCAACATGTTTTTCAACAAAACCAGAATATTTCTCAACATCTGAAACAGACTCAGAATGTTATTCAGCACAGTTCTTCTCAACAAATTCCTCAGTCTCTTCCACAACAATTACATCAGGATCAATCATTTCCTCAACATCAACAACAAGATCAGTCCATTTCACAACACTTACGTTCAGGATCATCTGCTTCCCAACAGTCTTCACAGGAACAGTCTGCACTTCATTTTTCAAGTCAGTCGGTCTCTCAGAAATTGCAAGATCAATCTACAAGTCACCATGTACAGCAAAGTTCAAATCTCGCACAAGGACAAGCCTTATCTCAACAATTGCAACATGAGCAATCTTTTCTACAGCAAAACTCACAAGAACAACCTATAACATGTATACAGCAGTCGGAACAGCCTGTTTCTCAACACCAATTACCTCAAGATCATGCTTCTTCTCATCATTTACAGCAAGGTCAATCTCTTCCACATGATTTGAATCAAGATCAGTCAACAATTTGCCAACAGTTCACACAAGGTCAGTCTGCACCTAATCAAATATTTGGACAATCTATTATGCAAAAACAAAGTCAAACTACCCAACAGTTGCAGGATGGACAATGTATGTCACAGCAATTTCATCATGACCAAGCTGCTATTCAACATCAGTTACCACAAGGACAGTCTTTACCTCTTCAAGTGCATCAAGGACATGTTTCACAGCAGTTATCTGATAATCAGTCTCTCTCTCAGCATTTACTCCAAGGACAGTCATCTCAGGTATTTGGACAGTCGGTTTCACAACAGTTACAAGGACAATCTGGTTCACAACAACAATCACAGGGACAACCTCCTTCTCAACAGCAACTGTCACAAGGACAGCTTCTCTCTCAACAGCATTTACTTCAAGGACAAGTGATTTCTCAGCAACAACTATCCCAAGAGCAAATTCTCTCTCATCAACAACTGTTGCAAGGACAATCTCTTTCTCAACAGAAACTGCTGCAAGGACAATCTCCTTTCTCTCAACAGCAATTGCCACAAGGGCAGCAAACTTTCTCCCAACAGCAACTGTTGCAAGGGCAACAAAATCTCTCTCAGCAGCAGTTTCAAGGGCAACAAAATTTCTCTCAACAGCAGTTGCAAGGGCAACAGAATCTCTCTCAGCAGCAGTTTCAAGGGCAACAGAATCTCTCTCAACAGCAATTGCAAGGGCAACAGAATCCCTCTCAACAGCAGTTGCAAGGGCAACAGAATCCCTCTCAACAGCACTTGCAAGGGCAACAGAATCCCTCTCAACAGCAGTTGCAAGGGCAACAGAATCCCTCTCAACAGCAGTTGCAAGGGCAACAGAATCTCTCTCAACAGCAGTTGCAAGGACAACAGAATCTCTCTCAACAGCAGTTGCAAGGGCAACCTCTTTCTCAATTGGTACAAGGACAGACATCACGTCATTCACAGCAGGATATATTTTTTTCACAACAATTGCAGCAAGGCCAATTTATTCCACTGCAATTGCAAAACCAAACAGTATTACAACATAATCAATCTATCCCATTTCAGTCACATCAGATCCAATCAACACCACAGCATTTACATCAGTCTGTTTCACAACCTCAGTCTACATCTCAAACACAACATTCTAATCTTCAACAAACTAAGCATTCAGACTCAGTTTTGCAACAGTTTCAAGATCAATCTGTTTTACAACAATTGCAGCAAGACCAATCTGCTATGCATCAATTGCAGAATACACAACCTACTTCACAAGTATCTTGTTATTCTATTCCACATACACAATATTCTCAGAATCCACAACAAATGCATCAAATTTCTCAACAGTTTCAACAAAATCAGCCAGTTGTGTCCCAGTTCTATAATTCTCAGCTTCCAGTATCACATTCAGTTCAACAGCAGAGTTTTGCACAAAGCCTTCAGACACAGTTACAGTCCTCACATTCTGCTATTCAACAAGGACAGACTTCTCATTCTCTTCAAATGGCATCTTCAATGTATCAACAGGATCAGGCATCTGTTTCTCAGCAAATTCCTTCTCATTCACTATCACAATTGCAAACATCTCATTTTCTTTCTCCTTCAGTTCAAACAACACATTCCATTTCACAGCACTTGCAGGCATCGCAAAATATGACACCGTTACAAAATCAATCAATTTCAAATCAAAGTCATGTTGTTCAGCCTGCTCCAGATGAAGCAGTTATGTCAAATCCAATATCTCAGCACATTCCAGTTATGCAAGTTGTATCTCAACAAGCATTGACACAACAGATTCAGAGTACACAATTTATTCATCATGTCCCTCAAGAACAATCTCAACAGATTCCAGCAGAATTGAGCAAATTGAATGAAAAATTGACTTCTCAAGCTTTAATCCATAGTGAAGATCCGTACAATCAAATAGGTAAGTTAAAGAAATAATTAGTAATGTCGTGATAATTTTTAAAATGAATGAATGCCAAAATATGTAAATTATTGCTGGTTGATTATTGAGGTCCATTCTCTGATGAGGTTGTATAGATGTAATTTTAAAAGATTTTTTTTTAATTTGGAAAAAATGTAGTATTTACTTTAGTAAGATCAGTTAATATAATGGGAAATGTTCTCAACTGGTTCAAGGAAATTGCCTATTCAATCCCTTTCTCTTAACAGAGTTTTACTCTAGACATTTGTGAAATAATTAAATTTTTAAATTACTGTATAGATGATGACTTTGCCAGCTTTTATTTTTCTTCTTAAATGAATTTGTTAATAATTTCAATCATAATTAATTTATATTTGGTGTTAATTTAATTTTATAAATAAGAATGCTGCTGTGAAATATAAAAACTTCTCTAAAAAATATTTATATAAAGAAGTACATTTAGATTTTTGAAATTATTTTATTTTGAAGCTGAATGATTGTTGGACTATATTAACACAATCTAATCTGGCAATTGTTTGGCATTAATATAACTGTCAAGCTTACAGACGTTTATATTTGTTTATATTAGTTTATTTGAATAATATTTTTCAATAAAAAATGCAAAAGTATTTTATTAATAGACAATAAAACCAAGCTTAATATTTGTTAATAATCAAATGATGTGACAAAAATCTTGTTGGGCTCTAATACAACTAATTTATTATTAAGTTACTAAGTAATTTGGACTAGAGATAGACAGTTAAGCTGCCATTTTGTGTTAAATTAAAACATTAGAAGTAAATTTAGAATATTCTAGAAGAAAGATTGGCTCAGAATGTAATCTAAATTTGCATCTTTGTTTTCTAATGATTACGTATAATGCAAGGTGGTGGCTTAACTGCCTATCGTTTAGTGTAAATTACTTAGTATCTTAATAGTTAGCTATATTCTAGCCTGACAATAATATGGCTGTATTATTTGATTAATATACAATTTGTTTATATCATTAAATGAAAAAGAAATGAATTGTTTTAAAATTTTATGTACTAATGATGATATCTGCAAATAATTAGTTATATCATTTTTTTTTAAATACAAATTTTGTACTGTAAGTAATAGATATGTATTATATCAATGGTGCGGTTTTCTTTATATTGTTTTAAAAGGTCAATTTTTCAAAGAAAATAGTTCCTCAAAAAATTGATGAAACATTATGGGTTAATTCCACAGAAATAACCGTCGTTTTTTTGCCTGGACTGCATTTAATCAGAGACAAAAGCTTATCTTCGTATTCTTTATTTACTTATTTACTATGCATTTCGGGTGCAATATTTTACAAATACGTGAGCCGTTCACAGCCTGGCACACGTATTTGTAAAATCTAAGTGACTCGTACAACATGGAATTCATATAAAACAGAATTATCAACAGTGTTATAGGGAGGTCGACTGTATATAAATTTTTTGTCAGTGCACATATTGGAATCAAAATAAAAGACCAAATTGGAGGAAAGACTGTGATTGGGAAAGCCTGTGTGTTGTTTTAATTTAAAAAATAAAATTTGAGGATCTATTGTAGTAAGACAGTGATAAAGAATGCCAGGTGATGATAATTAAGTAAAATATCTTCAAAGAATGACTTGAAAACATTTGTGAATTTTTAAAGAATTTAAACAATGTTTAAGATGAATAAAGAGGCAAACTCACTTAGGATGTGGTACATAAACTTTAATAATAATAGATAATTTTGGGAATTAAAAGTTGTAAAAGTTGTCTATTACAGTATGAAGGTTTAGAAATATGTTGTTCAATGAGTGTACTTTCTGTAGGAATAAATGGATTACCATTTAGTGATAAAGGGATGAGGAACCTCTAAGAACTTTATGATATATAGCTGTCCCTTGATAGTCCGACGTTTTGTAATCCGACATGCTCAGTAGTCCGACACACCTCCTGTCTCTGTTATGTGTCTGCTTGCACAGAAGCATATCGCGATGTGAATCTCCCCACCCAATTCTTACACGATGACACATTTCGTGTGTTTTCGTGAGCAGTTCTGTTCAAACAGTTGGAGTAGAGAATATTGTAGGCTACTGCTAGCAAAACAATGCCAAATATGTAATCACTTTCAGTAATCCAAACACTTTTGGTAATCCGACACCCTTTGGTCCCATACCTGTCGGATTATCAAGGGACAGCTATAATGAATTTTTCTATTTATAATCCTTACAAGAAGTATTTGATACTTTTACCATTAAATTTAGTTGGTGTAAAACCCCCTTCTGAAATTAAGATTAAAAATAAATAATTATATACTAGAGCCGAAATTAAATACAATTCCTTTAGTAAACTATCACCATTGACACCAATTTATAGGTGGTGTTGGAAAAAATATATTTTATGTTTTAGTTCCATGCAATTGGAAAAAAGTATATAATTTTTGACAAATTAATATAAATACACACATAAGAAATGTGTGTATTTATATAAATTACTTACTAGACACAAAAAATGTGGACAATTAAATGATATTGGTTGAAAGCTTGTTTGTATTATATCATTGGCATAAGTTTGCACATTGTAATGAATGAAAATGGCTCTTGAATGTGAGTTGTCTGAAGATGCAAAATACTGAATAATTTGTTTAAATTAAGACTAATTGCAAAAGGATGTTGCAGCATTGATTTCATGTGCCTGTAGTTCAGTATCGGATGTTTGGAAGAAATAGACTGACAGGAACATTTAAAAAATTACCATCATTATGGTTGTCCTTGAGTTACATTAAAAAAACAGGATAAACAATTAGTGAAAATATAAACATTTCAAAATAAATAAATTTGGAATGAAAAACCTAAGGAATTAATGTAAGTTTTTACACAGTGAGAAATAGATTAAATAAAAAAGGTTATTCATTCAACAAAGCAAAGCAAAACCTCTACTCACTCATACTCATTGATAAAAATGTTTAACTTGGGCCAAACAACACAAAGATTGGTCCATTTATGACTGGAAAAAAGTGCTTTTTAGTAATAAATCCAGGAAACTTTGGATCAGGCAGTGATTATGATTTATTTGTCTGGTGCAGACCATGTGGAAAATTTAATGCAGATTGTTTACATTTAATCAAATTATCACAATATTTAACAAAATGAACATGTATTTTATCTGCAGGATCATGAGAATTGTGTATAATGCATAGATGATAAATGCTGCTATGTATTTGGACATCCTTGTGACACTTCTGATTCCAACATTGGATAATCACTTTGGAGATTCAGGTGACTTTTTGTTTCAAGACAATAATGCTCCTTGCCATTGAGTCCAATGTGTTAAAGCTATTCTGATACAGAAAAACATTTTAGTGTAAAATAGCCCTTGCAAAGTGGGAGTTAAAAAAGATGTTTTAATAGAAAAAAATCCAACTGATAAGCAGTCACTGGCAGAGGTTATTAAAGATAGGTAGAAGGAAATTAACCCAGAAATGTGTGATAAGGAGATTTATTCACTTCTAAGATAAATTTAGTCTTTTATCAAGGCTAAAGGAGTAATCACAAAATATTAACCATCAAAATTCATAAACTTAAAAAAAATTTTTTTTTTTTGTATTTTTTGGTTAGCAAAGCATTAGTCAGTTGGCTACTATTTATTTATTTATTTACATTTAATTGGAAATGTCAGAGACGATTGTATTCCACCCCCCAATAACAAAGAAAAAAAATGATCCCCAATAAAATGATTACAAAATATAAAAGATATAACAGACATAATAAAAAAAATTATAAATTAAGTAAGACAACAGATACATTATATATTATATAAAATAGATTTACATTTATTTTTAAAAAAATTAAAATCACGATATAGATAAGGTTCAACAGGCTGTATGTGAGATGCTATACGGTAAAAAAAAGATCTTTGGGAAAGAGAAAGGCGGAAAAAAGGGATGAAGAAGCATGATGTATTACGAGTTCTTACAGTAGGGATGCGGAGACCTAGCCAGTAATTGAAGATTAGACCATTGAAGTATTTAAAACAGAGAATGCGGTCAAAATATTTTAAGCGATCAGAAAGATTTGGAAGACCAAGGCGAACTCTTGCCACATCGTGGTTGTTTGTAATTGGTAAATTGCAGAATTTGTGTATCAGAAAATAAACTTTATTTAATTCAGATTGTATTTTTTGAATCAGATAAGGGGCAGCCATGGCCCAGACAGGTAAACAATAATCGACTATTGATTGAAAATTAGTAAAGAAAATTGTTCTTTTTTTAGCTAAAGCAAACTTTTATTTTTTATTTTTTACATAATGATTATTCTAAATATAATTTATTTAATTACAAAGAAGAATTTTTTATCAAACAAAATATTTACAAAACATATGCTGAAGTTGTTAAAAATTGTATCATACGGGAGGCATAAATTTTGATATGTTATGTAGCATAGATGTAAAAGTTTCCTGTTTGACATATTGTCTTTACGACATAAATTTTATTAGGTACGACTGCAAATGGTGATGAGAAGTACCATGGTGTACTTTGCTTCTCCATTTGAAGCTGTCTCATACCTCTCTATATTTTGCATTTGGCACCCTGTGTTGGGGTCCACAAAATTGTATTTATGATTTACTTGAAAATGTTCAAAACCAGTTTTTTGTAATTCCTGATGTTTGTAAGTTTTCCAACAATCTGAATAAATGGTAGTTCCTTCCTGATTATTATTTTTTATTTCCTTCATTAAAGTTTTAGCTGAATGGTTTGGCACAGACACTAGAAAACATTCTTTTAATTTCCTACATATACCACCAAATACCCACTGTTGCAGAAAAATGCAGCCAACATTTAGCTTTCTGCACATACATATAGTTTCATCAATTTCTATGATTTTATTTACACCACCAATCTTTAAATTAGGACAATTTATTAGAGAATAGGTGCATATCTCTTGCATATAATTGTTCTACTCAACTGTCATACTTGGATTAACTCCTAGTTGCATTTGACAG